GATTTAGGTTCATTAAGAGTCACGGCCTTGACAAGGTGCTGTGCTGGCATTCTGGCTAAGAGCAAAAGGAGGCTTTTTATTATGGGGCAAATGATAGGGCCCGAAAAATTTCATAGAATCAGGCCCAGTTCTTACAATGTTCGTGTGGCAAACTTCAATATTTGGATTTTTTTTTTTTCGGTAGAATTCAATATTTGGATTTGATAATACGGGATGTGGATTTTCATGCGGACTTACATAATAAAATTGAGTCTAATAATTTTTATATAAAGAGTAAAATGCGATTTATAAATTAATACACATATGTAGTTTATTAAGTATTAACCCTATGTTTGAATTGAAGAGAAAATAGGAGAGAGGAGGAAAGATTAAAATTTTTTAACTAATCAAATTATTATTTGATTAACCAAAAAAATATTACCTCCTCTTTTTTTCTTTTTATTTTTTTCAATTTAAACATATTATAAAAGTAATTAAATAATTTTATAGATATTTTTACATATTGATCTGGAAAACACTTTCTTATAAAAATTATACCTCTACATTTGTTTTATTTTCTTTCTAAAGTACTTCAATTAATATGTACTATTATGTTTAGATTTTTTTTTTTTTTGGTATTTGGCTTACTTTTCTTATCGTGGGTGAAGTTTTGAGGAACCAGATTCACCGCTCTCCCTGTACCGTGAGCCAAGCTTTGGACACGGACGGCTGAGGATGCTGGATGAGACGCGAGCACACTGGTCATGGCACCGCAACAACGACACCGACGCATATGTTGCCGACGAGGTGTGGCTGCACAGTTTAACGACAAACCCGGCTTGTTGGGACGCCACACCCTCTACCAAAGATGAATTTTAACCCTCTAATGTCGAGTCGGAGGAATTCAATATTTACTTGCAGCATAGGTTGAGGAAAAGTCATCGTGCATCTCCTAAAATAGCAGATCTTATGTTTGTTGAATTTGTGCTTTAATGGATGCAGCACATTGTTGAAATAGCATTAGAATTTCCTCCAATATTTGAAAGCTATTTGGCATTAGTTTTTGTAAAATAATTTAGGAACAATCTTTTTGTATAATTTTATGTATTATTTAAGTGATTAATTTTTTT